CACAAATCGGAATGGATTAATTCAAGGATCCTATTGCTCGTTGATTCGGACTTTTTCGGGAAAGGTTTTCTCGAAATTTTTCCTTTTACGCAGTGCTCACAAACTTGTTTCAGAGGACAATCTTGCAGTTTAATTCCTTTTACTAAATTTCGATTAACCATTTCCCTGATGGCTTTCGGGTCACGGTGTCCAAATCGCGCATGCCAATGATGAATACAATTCTCTGGGTGGTGTGCCATCGTTGCTAGAGCATATTCTGGGGTTTTTAGTTTATACACACGACCTGTGCTCTCACCGACCGCTATTTCTTTCTCATCTTTTGAGATAGTCATTTTGTCGTTTTCCACATGTATCTGGTATTTTTGTTTGTCGAGGGCTCCAATAGAAATAAGTCCTGAGTCGAAGCTGGGAACGTATAGTACATTATCAAGTTTCAATGTTTTCGTTTTCCCTTCTCCATTGCAGCATTCAATTTTCCCTCTGCCAATACCGTATACCTGGCACATTTCACCATTTGCCACTTGTACCTGTGCTGTGTGTGTAGGGTCAATTTCTTCGAAGAAATTAATATCGTTGGACATATGACTACTAGCTCCTGAATCTAATAGCCAGCGTGGTCTGTGTTTGTATTTCTTTGTGTGGGTCATATATGCTTGTTGTAGAACTGAGTCAGTGTCACTATCCTCTTCGGTGCTGCTCGAATTCTCATCCAATACTGCTTTGGCCTTGGCATATTTCTTTTTCTTATAATGCTCTATTATCGCACCTTTCCATTGTGGACAATCGTGTTTCATGTGCCCACGACCTTTACAGAAGAAACACGTAGTTTGATTTCGATTGTTTACCTTCATGGCAACATCGTCTGTTTCGTCGGATTCGCATATTTTCCTTCTTTTGTATTCACCAATGAGTGTAGCCTTGACCACATGCATGGTCAATTCTATTTCTGGCTTGGTGGATAGAACTGAGACTACTGTGTGATACGACCGGGGCATGCTTCGTAATAAAATCCATGGGCTGAATTCGGTGACTCCTTTACTACCCAGTTCATTTAATTTGGCAATGAGGAGTTGCATTTTTGCAATGTGTTTTTCTAAATCCTCTCCTTCTTTAAATTTCAGATCTAGAAGCTCTAGGACACATTCAAATTTATTAATGCCACTGGCTTGTAGGTGGCATGTCCTCAGTGCTTCCCAGACCTCTTTTGCATTCCTCGCTTCTTGAATGTTTGACACCTGATCGAGTTCTAGCAATAAATTTATTGTACCTTGAGCTTTGTCGTTCAATTCATCCCATGTCTCCTGCGCCTCCCCTTGTTCTGATGGTCTGTCGTTGGTGATGGCTTTCCATGTTCCTTCTCTTCTTAATAGATTTTCCACTTTGAATTTCCATGTTTGGTAATTGGAGTTATTTAGTTTCGGAATTCCGAAAGTTGTGCTGGTATTTGTCGGTGCTGCGTCGTCCATCTCTGGACAAAACTTTTACTGTCACCTTTATCTGTTAACTTTAACTTCTTCACTTAATTTCTTATTAAATTTCTTATTAATTTCTTGTTAAACTTTTGATTCTATATCTTAATCCTGGGCCCATAACCAGTTGAATATTTTATTATCTGGAAGGAGTTAAGATATAGAAGACTGGCTTTACACGTACAAGGCACGTCTGCACTCGAGCTTTATTACTATTCGACTGACTATACATGAGTGTTCAGTCTGTCGTCTGGGTCAGTGTAAGTCTGTGTCTGTGTGTCTAACAGTTGGCTTGTGTTATACTGGGACATTCCCAACATGTTTTGGTGTAATTTATAAAAAATTTCCGAAAAATGACCACGCACTTTCGGACATACCTACACACATTTTCTAAAAACATCATATCTTCACGTTTCATGACATTCTACATCATTTCCAGGCGAAATTGAAAGATCGCAAAAATCATCGGTCACAATGCTTCCATTCGGAAGCAAAAAATTGAACAATTCCCTTTAAAAAAATTGAACAATTTATCTCGAAAAATTGTACTCAGATGACTCAGAATTATTCAAAACGTGGAGATTTCATATTCCCTGGGAAAGTGTTTATACCTTTTGGCCCAAATTTTCGGGAAAATGAAAAAAAATGTTGATATGACCTTTTGGCACAACTCACGCGATGTCTGTGTGTATGTATGTATGTATGTTCTATGTATGTATGTATGTATGCTAATCTCCAAGGTTTTTTCGTGCGAACCGAAGAAAAGATTGTGACAAAAATATCTTCTTCCTAGAAGAACAATGAATTATATTTGATACAAGCAAATCATGTGCAAAATAACCATTCGGAAGCATATTGCTAATTTATTACCAAAAATGACTATACTGTATGCAATACAACCACTTGTTTTCATTCCCACTTGTTTTCATGTGATTGAACTTTCGTGTCCAGTTTCGTTTCCCGTAATAATGTTATTCGACTTCCGTTTCCAGTTTCGTTTCCCGCAATAACGTTATTCGACTTTCGTTTCCAGTTTCGTTGTCGGCAATAACGTTATTCGACATTCGTTTCCAGTTTTGTTTCCGGCGGTAACATTATTCGACTTTCGTTTCCGGCAATAACGTTATTCGATTTTCGCTTCCAGTTTCGTTTCCCGCAATAACGTTATTAATTCGTTTCATTTCCGAGGTCGGAAACGAAATGGAAACGCGTTTCCAATCCCTGATTTTTCGAGTTTTCTCGACGGAATTTCTTGATTTTCATCAGCTGTATAAAAATATTAACAAATTATTAATGAGATCGTAGATTTTTTCATTGGGGAGAGAAAAATTTCTTGGACCGGGTGGCATGAGTACAGATGGACACATCCCTTATCTTTCGGAGCAGTGGGGGCTCCACAGACGTACTACCACAGACGCATGCTACTACTATACAGCGCAACAAAGGGCTCTCGTTGGGTGCTCCCCCACTACCCTCATATGGAGACGATTCTTGACGATTATGACTCAATGGGTTAAATAATCACTTGATCGATATCGACCAAAATCTAATCAACACTAAATTCCGTAAATTCTTTTTTGGACTCATCAAGCACGACATCGTGCAATTCACAATAAACGAAAGTTCGCAAGAAATGGTGAACCATAAATTTGTGAGACCTACATATTTACACGCACACATACAAACATGTTTTTGGAAATGAATGAAAATGAGTCTACACTGAGAGAAAAACGACCAAGTTCTCAAACAAGCCTTGTTTGGGCCAGCAAAATCGTTAGTTGACAACTACCAAAAAAATAATTGTTTGGTTCGAGTTTGAAAGTCACAAACATGAATAATTGCTCTGCTGTCAACAAGAACGAAATATTTCACTTGAAGAGGATCATTCATACAAAACGGTGCCTTTTTAGGATAATAATATTTTCTGTAGAGGGAAGTTTGTCAAGAAATATTTTGTTTCTAAGTTACAAAATTACAGTCATATCATTATTATTATTATTAATTACAGTCACATCAGTATTATTATTTTATTTAAGAATTAATTTTTTGTTTGTGATTATTGAATAGCCAAAACGACAAATTACTATCCCTCGTTTCATACAAAACGAGCATTTGCCGGGAGAAAAATATGTATAGAAGCATCGAATAACGTAGTAGTACTAGAAATTACATTTCTTGCTTGAATAATTTTTTTCTCAAAAGACTAAATCTATTTTGGAAATAAAAGTTTTCACTCTCGGCACACGCTTCGTATGTTTAGCACAAAAAAATTATTTTTTCATAATTTTTAATAAAGATTTTTTTAGAACAAGGAAGACTTATTTCAGAGCTGTGCGGTTTTTGTCTCAGTGTACGGACCATGAAATATCAACATTTGATCAAAAACAGAAAATCGATTTGTGGGGTGATTCAATAACTTCCATTATTGGGAAGCTAAAATAGTACATTTCGACACTAGGCCGTGAGGAACTTTTTTGGCGAATATGAGGTTACAGAACGAGCCGAAGACGAGTTCTGTAAACATATGAGGTAGAAAAATTCTTCACGGTCGAATATCGAACCGTATTTTTTGTCATTGGGCGGGAAAATAGTATATTTCGTAACGAGTGCAAAAAAGTGTTTTTTGGCGAGTGGGAGGTTTATATCACGAGCCGAAGGCGAGTGATATAATCCCACGAGCTAAAAAACATTTTTTCACGAGTTACGAACAATATTTTTCATCACAATGTGGCGGAAATTGGACTTTTAGGCACGCGGAGCGTGCCGAAAAGTTCACTTTTCGTCACAGCGTGATGAAATGGCGATTTAAGGTATTTCGTGCGAAAAACCTAATGACATTCATGCGGAATTCATATAGAATGTTTATAATTATAATTGAATTATCTATGAATTTTCCTAGAATTATTCCAGCTTTCCTTTAAGTTATTAACGATTGAAGTGGCTTCTTACGCATAGGCTCTTATGGAGATTTTTCTGTTTAGCATGAAACTATATTATGAGCTCAGATGGTAACGCAGTTCCGTGCTAAACAAAAAAATCTTCATAAGAGTCCATGTATAAGCAGCGACTTTAATCGTTAATAACTTGAAAAGGAAATCTGAAAAAATTCTAGGAAAATTCACAGATAATTCAATTCTGATTATAAACATTCGATATGAATTCCACATGACTGTCATTATTTACCTTTTTCGTGTGAAACACCTTAACCGAGCAAAGTAAAGTTAAAATCGGGGTCTAGTTATCGGGCCTAGTGACGAAAAGACGTTAAAACGGAATACACCTGGGCAAGTCGGAAAAATATCACAGCAAGAAAAGTGCTATAAACATGACCGTGATAAAATTGTCTCACAATCGAAACATTTTTCATTTCAGACTTCTCTCGAGCATGTCCTTAACAAATCTTTTCTCCATCGCAATATCCTCGAAAAAGTTATCGTCTCTAATGTCAAGTCTATAATCAATTCCCGTTTTAAATAACCGACGAATATCATTTTTCCGATCGCCAGACACACTAACTCCCTGGTCCCACAGGTCTACCATACATCCGAATCATTCCGAAAGTAACAGCAGTAGCAGGTGAAACACTTCGTCTCAAGTGTCCCGTGGCGGGTTACCCGATTGAAGAAATTAAATGGGAGCGCGGAGGTCGTGAGTTGCCAGACAATCTGCGCCAGAAAGTCATGCCAGATGGTACACTGATGGTATCCAGCGTCCAAAAGGAGACAGACACTGGAACATACACTTGCTGGGCAAGAAATAAACAGGGGCACAGTGCCAGACGATCCGGGGATGTAACAGTCATTGGTAAGATATTTTTTTATATACCTCCTTACTTTTATAGTCTGATGCAGGTGGACCCAATCGCAAGGACCATGGATCTGGAATGCAGACAAAAATAGAAGAAACAAGAACAAACTTTTTCAGGAAGAAGCCGAAGCTCTTCGCATCAGCTAGGTTATCTGTCTGTTATTCCATTTATTTAATTACAGTTCCCCCAAAAATTAGCCCGTTCACCGCTGATCGTGATCTGCATCTTGGTGAACGTACAAGTCTGACTTGTTCAGTGACACGTGGCGATCAGCCAATAAGAATCATCTGGCTCAAGGATGGACGAGCAATGGGACCATCAGAGCGTGTATCAATCACCAATGTCGATCAGTATAATAGCATACTGATGATTGAAAGTTTATCTCCAGATCACAATGGCAATTACTCGTGTGTTGCCTCAAACCCGGCAGCCGAGGTATCGCACACCCAGCAGCTAGTGGTTCATGGTAATCCTCCAACATCTAGGCCCGCAAAAAAAAAAGAAAAATGAAAAAATATGATAATTTTTTTCAATGCCCATGGTATAGCCCCTGACCGCCCACAATCTCTTTTTTTTCATACATGTCTATTGTAAGTGGGTGCGTGTGCTTGTTTTTGCGCCTCGTTATTTACTCATTACCTTCAATAAAAAGCAAAAGGAAAAACATTGGGATTTTCTTTTCACCGATGCCACTTGTCAAATTATTTTGTATAATAATCTTACAAATCTCTCCTTTTTTATTCTTCGTTTCATTTGAAAAAACATCGATTTCAATTTTTCGATTTTTATGCATGCCTCGAATTTTCTGATGATTATCAGCATTCATTGAATTTATTGAGTTTGATGAGTGGCACAGAGAATTCGGACGGTTTTAGATGTAGAGTTTCGTCGTTAGTCCGAACTCTGTAAAATCGGTTTCAATACTATCTCTGCATGACACCTCTCCCCAACAAAACTGTTATCCGTTACCTGGAAAATCCTTGATTCATTAAAGTGACTCGATCGATACAGCGTCAGGTATTGAAGGTTGTAAGATAAAATTTACAATAAATATAATCACAAGAAATTTTACAATTTATTATATCAACTTTTATTATAGTTAAATTAGTTCGAATTTGCTCAATATTTTCATTCTGACCGATCCAAAGGCTTTATTCTGACCAATTGGAAGTAAGTGTGATAACTTTCGAGATAAGGTAAATGGCCGTGACCATAAACAAACGACTGTCGGGACAGCGACAAGCAAAGGCATATTCACCTTAAACGCTATTGTTCTTTAAGGTTCAATCATTTGTTTAATAGCAGAAATATTTTAAAACAGCATAAAATTTCAATTTTTTCCTGTAACCGAGATACAAATCAATTAGGGTTTTTTACACCTTCACATTTTGAAAAATAATATATTCTATTTTTTAGTTTTTTTTTTCAATATACAGGGTGTTGTTTACACATTTCAGGCAGATATAGAATAGAAAATTGGGAATTCATTAAAAATTAGAATTTTTCAATACTTCAGGCAATTACATTGCGATTGACTACCGCCATGATTGGAAACGATGACGCAGTTGTCAATGGGACTTGACATGATAGTTAATGTAGTGATAATCTGCGCCAGAAAGTCATGCCAGATGGTACACTGATGGTATCCAGCGTCCAAAAGGAGACAGACACTGGAACATACACTTGCTGGGCAAGAAATAAACAGGGGCACAGTGCTGGCTCTTTATGTTGATAAAATTATCGGTTCATGGCTGCAATGAACTATCGCACATAATGGTGCTCCAACTATCGCACATAATGTCGCTAAAATCGTCGCCGTAAATACCGCCGTAATTGTCGTACCATCGCCATTTTCAATTATGGCGGCATAACGGGAGCCTACCATGATGTTATTGGGTAAATGATTGAAAAATTTTAACGCTCACTATTCAAAAATTTATCATCGTAATTTCACAATTCTCATGCCATTGATTTACTGATTTTCTATTCTATATTTCCTCACAATTTGTAAACAAAGTGCTGACGTCACCCTGTAAGTGATGAAAACTTACAAATTATGATTACGAGACTGAAAAATTTACATGAAAAATCGGATAAACTGGGCCTTATCCTGGAACCGATCGAGTTACCTGGATTCTCTCTCCCTCTACCAAGCGTCATCTCGACCCGCAAACATTGTCTCACAAAATTAGAAAAGAATCATGGGTTAGCACGCGCCAGATTCTCTTCACATTACTATAATAGAAATTCTTGCACCCTGTATGAGATAAAGCAATTTCATCACTGTTTACATTCCTGAGACAGTGCTGGTGCTCGAGGTGCCTTCGAATGCGATTAAATCTGCACGCTCTTGCGTCGAGTGGACTTGTCTACCATAATTCTGTTTGAGCGTGATATATTTTTATGTTCTAAAAATTCACTAAAATATTGTTTTAAAAACAAAAATACCAAATACTACAATGGTTATGTGGGCGGCAGGAGGTATTTCCATTTGGCGGGCCAAAACTCTATCTCGCTCTTTCTGTCTCTCTATATAAATTGCAACACTTACTGCCTCTATTGTACATACGTATTAAAATACCATATACATATTATATATATTTTTATTATAAGTACATGTACGTACTACTACTGTCTCATACTTGCATATTACCTAAGTATTATCATTATCATATACATAAATATTTTATCACATAAGGAAGCTATAGAAGATGTTACTGTATATATACCGATATATGACATGTGACACCATACATCTCTATATATACAAAGCGAAAAAAAAACTGGTATGAAAGTCAATGGAATTACTGACGAATATTAACATATTAATTTTAAGGTAATCCAAGTGCTATTCAAATTTGAGATTTTTTAAATTAAATTTTGCGAAAAAAAATCGTAAAAATATGAGACCAATTGCACTGCGTAATATAAGTATTTCACTCGCCCAATACGAAGTTTCAAGTTTTTAATTTGATTAGTTTATTTATAATCGCTGTGAGAAGCCGAAAAACCCCCCGATTTTCAGGGTCCGTAAAAATCGGCAAACTTTTAACCGCTACCATACGTACGAAAAAATTTCTGTAAAAATCGTCAATTTTTCCAGAGATTCGTTCAACCCTTGGGAAGTCAACGAGAGAAGAAAAAACTCAATATTGTAATAATTATTTATTTAATTAATAGAAATGTCGACTGCGGCTATCTCGTTGTAGAATTGCCGAACCGACCTAAAAAAAAAGATGAATTCTGACTTCCATGTAAAACACATTCGGTCAATATTTTTCTAATAAACAATCTCCGTTGATTTAAAAAAAAATCGAAAAAATTCGTCAAAAAAAGTGCTGTTAAAACGATCATAACTCGTTATGGGGGTTATGGGCTCGCTCACCGTCGGTCCCTCGAAATTGAAAACACATGTGCGCCTGCCTACCTCTTTCAGGGGCGTCGATACCAGTTAGTCGTTTAAGCCCTTTGGGGCGCAAATACACTGTACATTGCTTGCCCCCAGAGGGTCCAAACGACGGTGACTGGTATCGACGTCCCTGAAAGAGGTAGACAGGCGCACATGTGTTTTCAATTTTGAGGGACCGACGGTGAGCGGGCCCATAAACCCCATAACGAGTTATGATCGTTTTAACAGCACTTTTTTTGACNACGAATTTTCTCGATTTCTTTTTAAATCAATGGAGATTGTTTATTAGAAGAATATTGACCGAATGTGTTTTACATTGAATTCAGAATGCATCGTTTTTTTTCAGGTCAGTCCGGCAATTCTACAATGAGATAGCCGCAGTCGACATTTCTATTAATTAAATAAATAATTATTATAATATTCAGTTTTTTCTTCTCTTGTTGGCTTCCCAAGGGTTCAACGAATCTCTGGAAAAATTGACGATTAAAAAAAAAAAATTTCGTACGTATGGTGGTGGTTCAAAGTTTGCCGACTTACGAATTCTGAAAATCGGGGGGTTTTTCGGCTTTTCACAGCGATNGACGAATTTTCTCGATTTCTTTTTAAATCAATGGAGATTGTTTATTAGAAGAATATTGACCGAATGTGTTTTACATTGAATTCAGAATGCATCGTTTTTTTTCAGGTCAGTCCGGCAATTCTACAATGAGATAGCCGCAGTCGACATTTCTATTAATTAAATAAATAATTATTATAATATTCAGTTTTTTCTTCTCTTGTTGGCTTCCCAAGGGTTCAACGAATCTCTGGAAAAATTGACGATTAAAAAAAAAAAATTTCGTACGTATGGTGGTGGTTCAAAGTTTGCCGACTTACGAATTCTGAAAATCGGGGGGTTTTTCGGCTTTTCACAGCGATTATAAATAAACTAATCAAAATAAAAACTTTAAACTTCGTATTGGGCGAGTGAAATACTTATATTACACAGTGCAATTAATCTCATATTTTTACGATTTTTTTTCGTCGAGTTATAGACGTTTATTTCGAGTGGGGTCTCTAATTTTGACACCGACAGTAATTACGCTATATAAATCGCTTATGAACTTTTCAAACAGTACAAAAGTTTTGAGTACAGTTTTCAAACAGTAAAAAAGTTACTCGCATGGCAACGGGTTGATATTCACATCCTCACGGTTCACGTTATAAAGTGTGTGATTCAAGTTACAACGTTGGTAACACTGATCCAACTCAACCTCACATTCAATCTTGGAGTGTTGCCACCAGAGCATTCAATCAAACCGGGATTGCCATGTTGTTATGGAGAACTGCGGAAAACATTTTTTTTCCCACTTGGAACCGCTTATTAGAGTCAAAAGAAAAATCAGCCCTGCGGTATTTTTTTGCGCCAAAAATTCGAATTCCTCCTGGTCATATCTATCTCCGGACCTTGGCGATGATTATCATTTATTAGTTTATAGTTTATGTTTGAAATCTGACCGGATTGTGAGATTGAATGTCCGTGGATAGTTGGATTTGAAAAAGAAAATATATATTTTTGATAATCGGAAATATTTCCAATTTCGTGGGAAAAAATGTCAAATAGGTTACGGTGAGATGCGAAGAACATAAAAACAATTTTATGATTATTTCGACTTATTTGGTAATATATTGATCAAAAATTATAAAAACTTCTATCAAAAAACCATTTTGTTCGGCTGTGCCTAGAAGGAAATCAATTGATCATTCGAAAAAATACAATTTCCGTAGAAAATTAAAGATAAAATTGAATGGAAAAACCAAAGTAACTCAGAAAATCTTGAATAAATAATTAAAAGTCGATGAAAACAAAAAATCTGCAGTAGAACTCTTGGTTTCGCTTTAATTGCTAATTGGAAATACTTGAGAAAAACAAATGCGTTCAATGAAATAGTTGTTTTCGACCCTATGTTCTTAAATTATTCAAATTCTTCGGGACCATGTTTCGGTCAGCAGCAATAATCAACACAAGAAAATGTGTACACTAGTGTAATTGGACTACTTTTCGAATAAGTTTGTCACTACATATATTTATTAATCTTCATTCCGATGTTTTTAGAATAATAAATGCACCTGAAGAGGAATGCTTTGTGCATTTGAAACGTAGTGCAATTAAACTAGTTTGCACATTTCTTTGTGTTGTTTATTACTGCTGACCGAAACATGGCCCAGAAGAATTTGAATAACAAATGCGTTAAATTGAATTTTTAACAACAAATTTCGCAGGATATGAATGCAATTCTGTTTATTTTGAAAACATTGATAAAATTTCAGTAAACAAAAACAACAAAAATGTTTTTATTGAAGAAAACTACGCCAAGGAAAAGTTTAGTTTGGTTCTGACTGCAAGATGAACATTTTTGAAAAACACAAAGAAACGAAACAGAAAGCCAAGGCAAAAATGTCCAATAAATGGTCATATGGTTTAATCAGATATTGACGAAAAAAATCGTTTTAAATCGAATAAGGATTGAAGAAATATTCTCTCAAATAAACAATCAGTAGAAGCAGAACCAACGTCCTTGGTGTGAAATTATTAAACTCACTGTCTAGTATCTATCTCATGTGCTATCTTCTGCCCCGCGCCAATTACGTTGGCCCTGCTTCTGCTGATTTTTTATGTTATGGAGAGATTTTCTCCCATCCTTATTCGATTTTGAACTATTTTTCTCATAGAGAACTGTTTGAACCATTTATTAGACATTTCTAAATTGACCTTCTTCATTTCGTTGTATTTTAAAAAAAATTCTACAAAACCAGTCAAACCGAAACCAAACTTTTCCTTGGTGCATTTAAAAAAAAAAGAACATGTGTTTTTGTTTTTTTAGGGATAAACTCTGTTGCTTTTGCTATCGCATCAATTTCCAATAACATTTTGAATCTCATAAAATCACTATGAATGTGTTGATATATTTTTTAGAGTCGAAAGATTATTTTTCATGGAATGTCTCCATTTCAATAAAATAAGTTCTCAATTATTTTACCGGTCTGAAATTCCCTTTTACAATGTTCAAGTTAGAGTTCACACTTGAAAAAGTTGAAATAAAAGAATGATTGCAAAATGTCACATTCAGCTATGAAATTGTAAAATATTTTGACGGAGAATAGACTGTTAAACTTGGATATCCTTAAATAATGAAGAAAAATAATCAATTTACGAGATTTTTTTTTGCTACATCTTTTTCTCACTCTCACGTATGGTTCTTTCTTCTCTCTTGACCTTTTCCAGTACCCCCTATAATTGAGCCATTTACCTTCCAAGAGGGACTTTCCGAGGGGATGAGGACGCGCACGGTGTGCGGGGTCGCGGCGGGTGATCCACCCCTCACAATATCCTGGCTAAAAGACGGTCATACGCCATTCCTATTGTCCCAAAAATCAGCAACTGATACTAATATATCCCAATTGGATCCTTACTCAAGCCTACTGAGCATATCAATCCTAGCCGCTGAACACTCTGGTGACTATACCTGCGTCGCCGCGAACCCCGCCGCCGAGGTCAGGTACACGGCCAAGCTTCAGGTAAAAGGTAATTTGCTGAGAATATCGGCGCCACCCAATTTTAAAAAAATTTATACCTCCTACTGATCTCGAGGGTGACAAAATATATTAAATTCTGTAAATGAAAAAGAAGAAGAAAGATTTTTTATCAATGCAATACTCCCGTCGGCCCTTTTTTGGGGTTGAGAATTCATACCTCGGGATCGGAAATCCTTTCTCCCAAAAAAAAAAAAATAAAATAAAGAAAGAAAAGGAATTTTCTTATGATCCCCACCTTCTCTCTCTCCTCCTCACATCACATCGCCCTCTTTTCGATTTTCACGACTACTCGTATCGTCTCCAAACTCTCTCTAGGACCGAAAACCCATTCGTTTTTATTATGGAGAAAAAAAATCCGAGTGAAATTTCTATCACGATGGTTTCTATCAAGGTTCCTAGCGAGAGCTATCCCTCACCTCGATAATTCATGAAACCCATTTGAGATTCCTGTTGATACTCCCATTAATTCCAAAACCCTCATAAAACACAGTGTGTATTACATTTACGTTGCTTTGGCTCTCTGGGAATGCGTCGGTATCTCGTGGACCCCTGAGGTTTGCTTGACTTGACCGAAAGAACAAAAAATTAGAATAAATAATAAAAGAAACAAAGGTAAATCAGTTGCACTTTCCTTTAATTTATCCATCAGAAAATCTATCAGACCAATAAAATTGAACATCCGATGAATTACCAATCAAAAACAGTAATCTTTTTACCTGATGCGTGCGTGTGTGTGGTAACTCAATGACGATTTTTTAGGCATGAAGAGAATCATTTCTACATAATTGTTTTTACATCACAATAATGATCATTGCTGCATGTTATGTAAATTATGCACTTTAATGTAGATACTTTTTCTGCCACTGGCTGTAACCCACCGGACACTCTGGACGGCGGCGGCTGCTCTTTTTGCACAATTTTTTCGCATGCAACTTTTTCCACTTTTTCACTTTCAATCGATTTTTTACATAAATTTTTCTGCACGTTTCTTTATTCTCCCTATTTTTCCATCTCTACATGTTTTTTATTCCCCTATAAAAAGAAATAACATCCTTTCATAAAGGCGCGGACAAATACGTGCGATGTATATAGAGATTAATAATTTGATAAAGCTCGCTGAAAGTTGACATGCACATTGTAATGAGTAATGAGCAGCAAATTAGTTTATACATTGTAATCATGAATGAAACACACAGCCAGGCTTTGTCCGCGCTTTAGTTAATAACAGGGCTAGTAGTACGTATATAATTATTTAATTTGAGACTATCTATTCATTGTTAACCGGACTAGACGTTTAGAAGCGAAGTAAAATATTATTGGCTTTATATATGTTATATTACGTTTATTAATTTGTGATTCGCCGATGGGGCATTTACCTGCCAGAACTCACTTGACTTATTATTTCTCATGGTATATATTTACCCTATTTGAATTGCCTATCACGCGTGTATTCGGCTCGTTTCACGCCAAGTAAATTTATATGCGAGAGTAAATCATACTATTTCTTACATATTCACTATTATATCACCTTGCGTCTTCGAACGTGACGCTGTTTTTCGTTTTGATACCTCTGATTTTGTTTTTCGTTTTTTTTTAACGTAAGACGTTGAATATCTCCCCACCTATCACAGTATTATCGCTTGTGCAGCGTTTTTCATCACAACCGTAAAAGTAGAATACCCGAAAAAAAAAAAATGAACGAAACAAACCCGATGAAAGTATGCTCTCGAGACCTCAACACGGGACGTCGGTAGCAACGATGAGTTCATCGAACTTAAAGTATATCTGTATACTTTAGGGGTTAGCCACTCGATGTGGCGAACTGTTCTTTTTTTTTTACTCTTACTCCGCCGAGGAAATAGGAGATTTTCTTCGTTGAAGGCGTCCCGTGTGAGATTCGATAGCGACCCCAATCTGCCATTCTTATCCAATCACAAATGGGAAAAAAAGGAAATTTATACCACAAATTTATCCATCCAGCTCATCCCCCCATTCATTTTTCCCCTTCTTTCTACCCAAGTCAATTTAATTAAGCGGATTGTGAACTCGTAATACGGCGCTACAAGATTGAATAATAAATGGGAAATTATTCAAGGGTTCGCTCGTGAGAGTGAACCACTTTTTTCTCACTGTGACGCTCAAAATAAAATCAAATACAGAGGTACTAACGATAGAGTCTGTCTAACCTCGTTTGAACTCGGGGTTGAGGAGAAAGTTTTATTTTTCATTTTTTTAAATATTTTTATCGTTATCGCTTCTGAATAACGTCAGTCATTCGTCCGTGCGAGTTAACGATGTTCTTTTAGCAAAGACAAACTTCTACTGTTTCATTTTATTTCCTTAATTTGATTGATATTTCAGTTGTGGAGGAATATTTCAGATGGAACTAAAATTGTGGTAAATTCTCCATTTTCAGTGCCTCCGCATTGGCTGGTGGAGCCGATGGATACGAGTGTTGAGAGGAATAGACACGTTGCACTGCATTGTCAAGCGCAAGGTGTACCAACACCTGTTATTGTGTGGAAAAAAGCAATCGGTAATTTTTTGTACAAATTATAGAAACCATTTCAAGAAACCATGTGTTTGTATTTTTCATCGAGATATAATTTATCATGAAAATTTGTGAAGACAAAGCTGATTGGATTCTAGAACAAAGATGGCCTTAAGAGGCTTCGAGAGAAAAAATGACAAATGCAGCACAAATTTGACGTTATGAATTTTTAGCCAACAGAGGATGAAAAAAATGGGGAGGATAGCTTAAAAAGTTTGTTCATTTCCTAGAAATTTGACAAACCGAGTTGAAGATGAGCTGAAGAGGATAAATAATTTTCAAAAATCTTTAAAAAAGCGAGGTGGCCCTAGTAGAAATTCTGACCGGCAGGCCGACATTCGGTGCGCGCGCGTCCAGACATTTGATCTCGTATATTGGGCGCCCTATCGGGGACGTTCCGCCATTAGCCACACGTATTCTATACGGGAGTCGCCCCTGAAAAGTCCGGGCGATGGCGCTCGGACATTTGATTTCTACTAGCGGGCGAACGGTATAAGCGCCTACATCTTATGTAAATACCTCCTTCCCCTGCCACAAGAGACGTTAACTCGTCAGTAGGGGTGCGGTTCCACCAGCCTTCTCGAGGCGTGCGATGCGAGAATCCCGAGTGGAAATTTCGGTCAGGTCTTGATCAAGTTTGGATCAGGTTAGACCTGACCACTGATCAGGTATTGATCAATTTGACAGATCCGGTCTTGATCAGACATGTTACGCCTCTGACTAATCCGGATTTGATCAGGACGAATGGATCCGAACTTGATCAAGTCAACTGCATAAAAACCGGATGACCTGTCTGTCTGTGTCAATAACAATTATCAATGATAACTAATTCAAAACAAAAGATAATTCAATTCTTTCACCGTAAGCCGCCTCTCTTAATGAATCTCTACTGTTATTACCTCTGAAAAAGCTTATTATTCTTTTACCGATGCTAGGGATGGGGACCCTATGATTGCTAATCCTATACCCTAACCACTACGCTATCACGCTATTACTATTGAGTAAACTGTACATTGCCTATATGATTTGTATCGGGGTATTCGTTGAATTTGCGATTATTCCTGATCTCGCGGATGTGCGTATGTATTCTCCGAGATAAAATATGTTCAACTAAATTTTTATTTATTTCATTCATGAATAATAATAATGATAATAACAATAACTCTAATAAATAAATAGACATTTGGTGATTTTTTTTCTCAAGATCATTTGGGTCTAAGTTTGATACTCCTCTAATACGTATTTACGACATCATCATCCCTCACTTCTGTACATTTGAAAGGAGCTGGCTGTTAATGAAAGTGATTAATTAAATTAAATTTATTAAATTAAATTAATTTAATTTATTTTAATTATAGTACAATGATACTTTTTAAAGATTGAAAATAATTATTGATAATGGTTGATAAAACTTAATTTGAATAGTATTATAATAGTTAATTCAATTATCCGAAAAACTTATTAAAATTAATGTCAGGTGGACCGGATCTGAATCTGATCATTTTCTCTTCAATTGACCCCGTTCAAATCCCGATCAAAGACATCAAATCCGAATTAGCTCAAATTGAGGTCAGGCAGCCGACCTCAGGGTGAGATCGTGCCTACCTGATCAGAACTTGATCTGAATTATCCTGCAGTTTTTCGGATCCGATCTACTGGATCAAAACTTGGTCAGGTTCTCATCCGGCATCATCTGATCATGTCTACCTGGTCAGAACTTGATCTGAACCTGCCTGTAATTTTGCGGATCCGATCTGCTGGATCAGAACTTGGTCAGGTTCTCATCAGTCATCATCTGATCATGTCTACCTGATCAGAACTTGATCCGAATCCGCCTGTAGTTTTTCAGATACGATCTGCTGGATCAGAACTTGGTCAGGTTCTCTTCGGGAATCACCGGATCAGTCGAACCTTACAAAAACCTGATCAAGTTCTGATCAGGTAGACATGATCAGATGATGACTGATGAGAACCTGACCAAGTTCTGATCCAGCAGATCGTATCTGAAAAACTACAGGCGGATTCGGATCAAGTTCTGATCATGCTTCAGGTGGGCCTGAAGCAATTTCCACTCGGGAATGTGTCATCGGCTTCACGTAAGAATAGGGCTAAATATCGTATCCGTAACACGTGAAAAATTTCGGCCGAGCCTAAGATAATTTTTTTCTACTCAACCCTAACCGATAGACGACTTTTATTACCACCAGAGTCAACTAGAAGAGTTACTTGGGGCATTTAAAAAATTTCAGCAAAATAATTGCGCTTTCAGGGGATACTGCGTATTCCTGAACTACTAATAAACCTCGCATCTACTGTCGGTGTCAAAAGTAGAGACCACTCGAAATAAACGTCTATAACTCGCCGAAAAAAAATCGTAAAAATATGAAACCAATGGCACTGTATAATATAAGTATTTCACTCGCCCAATACGAAGTTTCAAGTTTTTTATTTGATTAGTTTATTCATGATCGCTGTGAGAAGCCAAAAAACCCTCCGATTTTCAGGGTCCGTAAAAGTCGGCAAACTTTGAACCGCTACCATACGTATAAAATTTTTTTTTTTAAATCGTCAATTTTTCCAGAGATTCGTTTCCTTGGGAAGCCAACGAGAAAAGAAAAAACTTAATATTGTAATAATTATTTATTTAATTAATAGAAATGTCGACTACGGCTATCTCGTTGTAGAATTGCCGAAACGACCTGAAAAAAACGATGCAATCTGAATTCAATGTAAGACACATTCGGTCAATATTTTTCTAATAATCAATCTCCGTTGATTTAAAAAAAATCAAGAAAATTCATTTTAAAAAAATGCTGTTAAAACGATCATAACTCGTTATGGGGGTTATGGGCCCGCTCACCATCGGTCCCTCAAAATTGGAAACACCTGTGCACCTGTCTACCTCTTTCAGGGACGTCGATACCAGCTACAGTCGTTTGGGCCGTTTGGGGCGCAAATACACAGTACATTGCTTGCCGCCAGAGGGCCCAAACGACGGTAACTGGTATCGACGGCCCTGAAAGAGGTAGGGAGGCGCACATGTGTTTTCAATTTTGAGGGACCGACGGTGAGCGGGCTCATAAACCCCATAACGAGTTATGATCGTTTTAACAGCACTTTTTTTGACGGATTTTCTCGATTTTTTTTTAAATCAACGGAGATTGTTTATTAGAAAAATATTGACCGAAAGTGTTTTACATTGAATTCAGAATGCATCGTTTCTTTTCAGGTTGCTTCGGCAATTCTACAACGAGATAGCCGCAGTCGTCATTTCTATAAATTAAATAAATAATTATTACAATATTGAGTTTTTCCTTCTCTCGTTGGCTTTCCAATGGTTCAACGAATCTCTGGAAAAATTGATGATTTAAAAAAAAAAATTTCGTACGTATGGTAGCGGTTAAAAGTTTGCCAACTTTTACGGACCATGAAAATCGGGGGGTTTTTCGACTTCTCACAGCGATTATAAATAAACTAATCAAATTAAAAACTTGAAACTTCGTATTGGTCGAGTGAAATACTTATATTATAGAGTGAAATTGATCCCATATTTTTACGATTTTTTTTTCGTCGAGTTATATACGTTTATTTTGAGTGGTCTCCACTTTTGACACCGACAGTAGTCAGTTGATCGATGGTCGATCGACTGACCATTTCATTGTTAGTCGATTGCTGGTGAACGGTTAGTCCATCGGTGCTCATTTGCCAGTCACTCGTTAGTCAATTTATGGTCGAGAAATCATCAGCCATTGACTAGTGATCAACCAATACTCGAGCAAGGGAACAACTCGATCCTTTAATCGAGTGATCCGCTACGGATAATTCAATTCCGTGATAAGAAACTTGATCAACTTCAAATATTTTTACTCATATGGTGGGTGAACGGTATTACCTTATTTTAGTAGCAAACTTTGAGGTAAATCGAATGCAATTCAATTGAACGACACTGAATTTTCCCATGAATTTCTATTGTGCTGTTTCAAATGATTCGTGACAACAATAAAATATAACATGCTACACAAACAGGAGGTAAATCCGGCGAGTACGAAGAACTGCGTGAAAGTTCTTACACAAAACTTTTGAATAATGGCACACTAGTCCTTCAGCACGTTAAAGAAGACAGAGAGGGCTACTACCTGTGTCAAGCTAGCAATGGTATTGGCACTGGCATGGGCAAAGTGGTCCAACTTCGTGTCAACTGTGAGTAAGATCAAAAATAATAAAAGAAGTGAGACAAAATTTTGAAAACTTTCTAACTCTTGAAAACTTTAAGCCTCACCATATTTTGCTGCTCCGTCAAGACTTGTCACTGTTAAGAAGGGCGACATGGCGACGCTGCACTGTGAAGTTCATGGCGATAAGCCTGTCACTGTTTCTTGGCTAAAGGGTGGGAAAATTGAATTGAATCCATCCACAAATTATCGGTGAGTATTGAATTTAGAAAACACGTTTCAATAAGAGAATGGTGAAGGAAGATAAGTGAATGTTACATTGAAAGAAGTTTCCGGGATATATGTTGGAAGTTAAGGGAGATAACAGAACTTCTGGAGACATTGCTTCGCAGCTCCCACTGTAATCTACAGAAATTATCTCCATCAATAGACAGAAAGGAAATATTCTTGGAATCAAAGAGATTAAAACCCTGTACTTCTTTCGATTTTTTTCTTTAGAAAACCTGGGAACTTTTTTGAGTTTTCAAGAAAACTCGAGATTCATCAATTGTTTTTCAAGGAATATTTTTGATTTTTATCAGAAGTTTTAGAAATCTACAGAAAGTTCTGGAATTTTTAAGAAATTTTGGCACAAAGCTGTAATTTTTTAGAATTTTCGGAAAATTTTGGAAATTTTCAGAAAGTTTGAGAAGTTTCTATTAAATTATAGAACTCTATATATTGCGCAATAATTTATGGCCTAAATAAATTACGTGATTATCTGATGACTAGTTATACAAAGCCAAAATTTTTACCAACCAGCCAAAAGTCACTCTCTGCACTGACGTACGTAAGTTAAACATGCAAGTCAAACATAAAATTCAAATTGGAGAATTGAACGAAGAGTTGTTTGTTTTATGATATGAGTGATTACAAAGATTTGGTAATCCCATAGTATCCAGTAGTATTCGCTAATCACTATCAACAGAGCCGTAATGTGAATCTTAGAATATATGATCTATAAAGCCTCGTGATCAAGAAATAAAGCTAACAAATTTTCGCCCAAAAATCCCAAGTGTGACAACAAAGACGGAAGTGATACCAGACGGTGTGGAGGCGCAGTTACAAATATCCTCAGCGGAAGCATCGGACAGTGGGGCATACTTTTGCCAAGCAAGCAATCTCTACGGAAGAGATCAACAGTTGGTCCAATTACTCGTGCAAGGTACACCCCCAAAAACTCCTCCATCTTCTTTACATTTACGTGACCAAACTGTTGACCCTAATCTCCGGTTTGCCATCCTCTTCCATCAGAGCCCCCCCAGCCACCGCACGCCCTGGAGACAGCAATGATTGCCCCCAGAAATATAAACATCAAATGGCAGCATCGAGCCCAGGATACACGTGAAGTAACCAAGTATATTCTTCAGTACAAAGAGGGAGAGAGTGGTATGTGGCAACAGCAGGAATTAACTGGATCCCCATTGCCACACGCAACTCTGATTGATGATCTCAAGCCAGCAACGAGGTACACCATTCGTATAATTGCCGAAGGACCAGCTGGTAGATCCTCACCGTCAGCCGAATTGGTCGTTCGTACGGAGCCCCAGAGACCAGCTGGACCTCCCATAAACATTGCTGCTCGTCCCATTTCACCAACGGAAATCCTCGTCACATGGTCACCACCCCTCGCTGAATTACGCCACGGGGACATTCAGGGATTCAACGTTGGATTCAAAGAGTCCAGGTTATTTATATTTACCAATAGCACGTTTATTGATTTATTCAACTACTGTTGATACTTCATGCAACAAATATTTGAGTTACAGTGGTGGAAATCCGTCGTACAACTTTACGTCGGTATCTGGGGATGGTGAGGAGGGTGGTGGTGAACTTCGTCTCACGGGACTCAGACCTTATACCAGATACACAATTGTTGTTCAAGCTTACAATCAAATCGGCTCAGGACCACTATCCGAACAACTACCCACGCAAACATCAGAAGGCGGTGAGTGGATTTGTTTGATTTTATTAGGAGTTTACTCTGGGTGAAAAAACTTTCATTTACATTTGGGCTATTCGTCTTCCTTTGGAAGAAACGTAGTTTGAGAAGATGTGATAGATATAATAGGGAGAGTTGTTTGCTTACTGGAGTTCTTCAAGAACAATTCGGATAGAATTATGTCTTTTTGAGGATGAAAGTTGGAGCATTCTTTTCATCATTCAATTGTAACCTTTCGTTGCACCCTTTTTGAGCACTCATCAATCCCATCCATGGTCATTCACCTTGCAACATAAAGAAAACTTTTAAAAAAAAATATGAATGCTCATCAGATTTTTTTTCCGATGAAAATCAGTTGATATCAAGTGGAGGAATTCATTTTTTCATTTTTTAAAGGAAATGTTGGCAAAAATCGCTGACGTACGGTATAACCAGCCAATTAACCCTCTGAGGTGAATGGGCATTTCCACCACTCCACACACTTTCCGTAAGAATTGCCCGTCCCCACTCCGCCGAACAAAGTACTACTCAGGCCGACTTTCACCTTAGAGGGTTAAGGATGGTTAGCCAAAACCCACACTATTCACCATAATTTTGATATTGTCTCATATGCCAGGTTCATATTTGAGCCACGCATTAGTAATAATCTTAATCCTTCCATCGGAACATCCTAGCGAGAAATTAATTTCTGAAAATCACTTCTTGTAACATTACGCTTAGAAAAGAAAGGTGATCGTGAGAACTTTGATCGAGATGTTGCATTAGTTAAACACTCAAGATATTGAAAAAAAAACACAAGCCATTTACTTTAGACTATGAAGAATCTATCGCCGGCGAGAACAAGTAGGGGACCGGGCCATATAGGCGTGATATCGTCGATTGATTTTCGAATTCCTTTAAAAGAAATTTGACCGCCATTACGAGTTGAGCAACGCGACAACACCACACAACAGCTGATCGAGCTCGGTAAAGTCGGTGACGATAATTCAGTGCTGGAAGCATATAGACATGTATAACACACACACAAATATTTATCTCACTGTTACAACCCTACTACTAACCGAAGCGTGCGATGTTGCCCGATCAAAATTCGACTGTTACCACGGCAGTCACAAGTACTCCATTATTTATGATCATTTTCTTCAACTATTGTTTCTTAGACCGGAAAAGTACGCCATAACACTTCTAATTTGATGAGAAAAATAATTTGTAACATGAATGATATATTTACACAACCTAATTTTTCTTTTCAATTGAATTGTCCGTTTGATACGTTGAACATCCTTAATGTTATTTATTATTCAAAGTCATGCTTGCAGGTGGTTCTAGTTGGGTAGTACGTTGTCTACTTTTAAGAAATCCAGTGTAATGTTTTTTGAAGCCTCTATTATGATAATCTAGCATTGCTATTAAGTGATTGAAAATACATTCCTGTTTTATTAGTATATTATATCACATGTAAAAATATAATTTTTTATTATGGGAGGGCGGGGCAAAATGGAACGCGGGGCAAAATGGAACAGTGGGGCAAAATGGAACGCGGGGAAAAATGGAACGGTACAAAAAATTCTTATCCCAAGAAATTTCTCCTCAAGAGATGAAATATTTGGCACAAGAAATTAGTTTTGTGATATTATGACGATTTTTTTCTCAGTGTATGACACCGGAACGAATGATTTGAGATAAAATGTGACATTTTCCTCTCCTTTAGTAGGCTAAATAGTTGAAAGAAAAGTGAAATTTCATGAGCAGTTGTCTAAATATTTTCAAAACAGTGACTGATTTCGATACAGGGGAAAAATAATGAAAATTCATTGGAATTCAAAATTTTTGAAGAGCAGAAGGATGAGAATTTCTCAACTCATCTGAATTTTCTATCAAAGAATTTTCTGTCAGAACATCTATCAAAACATTTCTATCAAAACTTTAGTAAACTAAATCATATAATCTATTCTTCAATTTTCAATCAATTGAAAATTCAAAAATTCATTTATTTTAACTTTCCAGATTTCCCCGCAAAACAATTCAAATTTTTCAACAAACAATTTCAAATTTTAATGAAATCAAATTCTTTGAATTAAACAATTTACAAATGGATTAATTTTCACCAATTTTGAATATAAATTGTCATACCATATAAAATTTTTCCCTCGAATCAACGCGAAAATTTACATCAAGAATTGAAATTTTTTTTCATATTGAGTTCCTCGAACTAAAATTCTCAAATATTCAATAATTGTTGCTTTTTTTTCTTGAATTTTTTAAACCGTTAAACTTTTCACCATGTCATTTCCCGATTTAAATCAAATTTATTATTGATTTTGTTTTACTCATCCATTTTGTTGTAGTTTCTTGAAGTAATCCAATATTCGGTTGGTTAGCGCTTTGGTTTCAAAAAAAAAAATTCACACACAGATTTTTTTCAGTTCACAATTAATCCTGCTAATATTTATCAAAATTTCTCAATAATTTCACGTAAAAAAATTTACAATTTTTCGGAACGGAAGTTCACACTTTAATTAATTTCTCTGGAAGAGAGAAATAAGAAGAAGGACCAAATATCTTCAACTTTTGAATGGTTCAGACGATGCGAGAAATGACCGGGAAAGAAGAACGGCGGGAACTAACTTTGGGGGTGCATCGACGCTCTTTTATTACCTCGGATTGCAAATGTACTAATTAATGTATGTGTATGAATTTTGATGTGTTTGTCAAAGGAGGGGGCATGACATGATGTCGATGCACCAAGGTACGCCTTGGCACGGATACCTGAACCTCCTGGTGATAACGCTCTTGGAGACAATTCAAAGTGTTGCCACCCAACTATCACGTGATCGTTACATGAACTTATTCGGTTTTCTTTTACACCTTTTTTTCTTCATTAAATTCCTTCTTATATTTTCACGAGTAATATCGATTAAAAATGAGACTCGCTTTCAATTACCTCCAATGCGAAATACTTTTTGACATCACGTATTATTTATTATTTTCTAATTCCATTTTTTTTTCAATCATTATCAATTTTTCTTTTATTTCAATAAAAAAAGCGATACGTCTCCAGACGTAACACAATCTAATTGACTATTTTGATGTAAAAAATACTTGGGTATCCAGTGGCTGTAGCGGTCACGCGCGGAGTGTGTGGCTCCAGCGGTCATCCAGGCTAAGCAGCTTTCAGTCTGCCCAGTACTTGGATGGGTGTTCGCTTAGGCACACCTAACTGATGAATGTAGAGAACCACTGTGCCCATTGAGTCAGTGTGACCAATAGACACAGTGGAATCCCTTCATTATCGGCCGGCTGCACGACTGAGGTTTCCCATGGTTTCCCTGGCAGTCCAATCCCGAATGGGGTGCAGTTGGGGATAAAGTAAGTCGGCCCATGGTAACGCAGATAGGGAAGGGAACAAAATGTAAAAACCCGAGAGGGTATATATATATATGGAACCAAAAATAAAAAATACTTGGGTATCCTTTAACTGTGAAAATCCTATTGAAACTCATTGAGTCATTTTTGCGTGAATCGCAAGCAAAAAGTTTCTATGGGTACATTTCGGAATCAACTACCGTAGCAGCAGTAAAGCAAAATTAGATAGAGTTGCAGTACTGCTACTGCTACTACATCGATTGCGAAACGCGCCCTATATGTACGATCTGAAAACATTCAAAATATCAATAATATCAACTCATTCAGTAGTTTCCTAATCTTGTTTTAGCAACTCAATTCAATACAAAATGATGTTTCTTGAAAATTTGTTCGCGTCATAATTTCTCCCTTAATTCTCATAAAACTACACGTAATTTCATCATTCAATTTTCTCTCGTCTAATTTTTCTCAACAAATTGGAATCGAGTCAAGTCAGAATCGATTTAAACGTTAAGACGGCAGAAATGCCAACCATTTTCGCTGCAGCACTCAAACATTCTCAATTGGTGCTAGTGAAAAATTCGGATTTCAAGTTTTATTTCCAGCAGAGGATCATTTGACATGATGTGAATTGCACGTTCGTGATAGGAAATTCGAGTGAGAGCTTTTTGAAGAGGAAAAAGACGAAATTGAACGGAATATTTCGTATTTCAGTACCAAGCAAAGCACCAGACGATGTTCGTTGTGCAGCACTGACGTCCCAATCACTACAAATTTCATGGAAATCACCACCAGCTGCTTTCGCCAACGGGAATATACAGGGTTACAAATTGACTTATGAACCAGTTATGCCAGACTCCTGGAGTAGTATCGATGAGATGGAAGTGAGGAAAACGGGAAGTATGACGATGACCCTTGCGGGTCTTCGAAAGTACACCAACTACAGTGTTCAGGTTCTCGCTTACACTCGTGTTGGTGACGGTGTGCCCTCCAGGTCCATGTACTGTCGTACTAAGGAGGATGGTGAGTCGATTTTTAATTAAAAAGAAATTCCTTCTTCCACTTTGGATAATCTAAATGGAAAATGAAATTGATTCAGTCCCAGGCAGCCCAGCGGATATTAAAGTCGTTGTGAGCTCACCCCAGGCACTTTTTATCTCCTGGTTGCCACCATTGGAACCTAATGGCGAAATTAACAAATACAATTTGTACTCCAGGTATTTTTTATTATAATTTTTTTTATTAATTATCGTGCAATTGTACATTGTACAACCGCCAAAGACCTAGTTTTCTGACACTAAGGACCTGATCCCGGACACACATATAAAACGGCATTCCTTTATTTCTATTGAAAACAAAATTGTTTTGCGGGTTTTGCTTGCTGTCTCCAAATGATTCGAATGATTCTGTTTCGAATAATTGATGACACAATTGAATCAGGCCCCCTCCGGTAACTAGGTCCTAGACGGTATCTTGAAAAAATACTAAACCAATTCATCAAAGGTCTAAAATTTTCCAGTGATCGTAGAATCTATCGATTTTTTTTCAAAGGCCCAGGCATGATTTAACCCTCGAGTGGTCGCACCTCTCCACCAAACGTATCTGGTCGCGTGATGAGTGCTGCGCCGTTCCGTGTATTTTACCATTTTGAGAAAAAAAAAAGTATTTATGATTAAACGAGTAACTTTGAACTTCCAACTAACAACTAATATCAGTATAAAACGAGAAAAGTGAAAAGATTATTCAAAAATTGATTTCCATTCGGTGCGAAAATGTGACGTTTAGACGTTAAACACAGAGATTTTGACCGAGTCGAATTTTTAAGGAATTTTAATTTTTGATCGGTGCAAAGATGCACAGAAGAAAAATTGTTTAAATGTTTAACATAGTGGAAAGTAGAAATTCCAATTTCAGATTTTTTATCAACAACGTTTCAGCGTAAAAAATAAAAATCGAGACAGAACGGCGCTCGTGCCATGATGCGACCGATCGAGAGTTAAAAGAGCCTTGGCGAATTTTAGAGTCTCCTTTCTTTTAATAAATTTGAAAAATATATAAAATCGTTTCAAAAGCCATGAAATTTTCAAAGGATAACCGCTTTGCTAATTCAGGTAAACATATTGTGTGAACGATATTTCATTCAAAATGGGTATGAACACGCGGTTTTTAGTATGAACTATCAGAAAGTGAGTCCGTTGGAATGATGGTTTCATACTATTAATCAATTGTTAATTACTGATAAACGTGGAAAATAGTGTGAGAAAAACAACTCAAAATCTCCACCGTAATATTGCAGAAATTTTATTCACTTTATTCAAAATTTATCTTCACTTTATTAAAAAATTAACTTTTCATCAGAGATTACTCCACTTCACAAAATGATCGATCGGAATTGAGTTTGCAAATTCTTGGAAAAATAGACTCATCAACTAATAGGATATGATCATGGAATTTTTTATGGAGTTAGTCTGCAATCCAGTAGACTCCCGCTAGTTGCTTATCGAAAGGGCTGTAGAGGTACCATTTCCAAAAAATTAGCAACTTTCCACCGACCTCCACTCCTCAACAAATGCCGAGCCGACCCAAGTTCTCAGAAAAATTAGAGGAAATGAATAGTTTTATTTTCAAATAAAATTATATGGAATTCTATGTTTATGTACGGAAGACAAAAGACAGCGATAAGACGGCGGAGAGTGGGGGGCAGCGCTCGAACGTCCGAGAAGGGGATCAGGGAAAACAAGCAACTAACGGGGGCGCAACTAGCGAAAGTCTACTGTCGTCGCACTCATGGGAAAATAGGGGAAGCGAATTCGGAGAATGCGACTGTATTTCGCTGTCCCTACCTCGCCCTCACGCGGGGCGAGATTTTTGAGAACTGGGTGCCATAAATAAAAATACTAAGGATTTAATTTTCGTTTTATTGAATTTAACGCTTTATTAAATAATTTGAATCATTACGTTACATTTCATATTCAACTTTTTTTTTATAATCAACCGTTTTCATTTATCAAGAAATTGTTTTTCTTATCAAAGTGGTTTTGGTTTTCTAGTTTTGATTGTAAAATTCTCACTAATTCTCTTTTTTCAAGTTTTTCACCTGCAATTTTGCTATTATTCTCTTTATTCTGATTTATTATTTAATTCACCTTATCCCAATAAAACTAGCCCTTCTCCCCATGGCAGTCTAGAGGGAACTGAATTGCATGATTAGAAATGCATATATCTAGAGTATTCTATTTTTCGGCGTTCTTGCAATTTAGACAATGCCTCTTTGAAGATAACGCTGAAGTGTTTAAACCGGGGCCTGTGGGTAGTAAAGTGGAGGAAGCGGCCGAGCAACGAAAAATAAATATGAGGGGAAATGCGACTGTCACGAGTGCGACTATAAGGGCTAGTCTACAATAAGCCCGGAACGGCAATGGAGACATTGATACCCAGTCGAGTCATAGGTAGAAAAACATATGACCCCGGGGTCGGGTCCTTTGTGCGTATTTCGTTCCGGGCTTATTGTAGACTAGTCCTTACGGACGTCTACAGTACTATTTCATTATCATTGTGTAATCCGTCAGTACTCGAGCTATTTCACCGAAAACCTTTAGTCGCGCCGTGAGAGAATCTCTAACGGATTGCGCGTATATTAGTTAGACAGAGAAGTCCGAGCTATCCATGGGACTGGTTTAGTTGTGGAGTATTACCGCACGCCTTACGAAACCTCAAGGCGAGCCAGCCCACCGACCGACTTTAGTTGCTCCTTGAGAGAATCTCTGACGCTTCTCGGCCGAGCTCGACAAAATATTTTTTTATAATTTATTGAAACATACTAGGCAGTTTTTTTGGCCCCACAGGAAAGATTGATAGTTGCTTGAGGCAATCAAAAAGTTTCAATCGCCCGGTGGCTTGGCACAGTGGCTAAGTTCGTAGCCTCACATGCGAAAGGTTCCGAGTTCAAATCCCGGCCGGGTAGAATGGTGCGATCTACCCATTTAAAGTCTTGATCATATTAGCGCAATATACTCTAACCGGGTCGAAGCGATGTAAATCACGATTAAAAAAAAGTTTCAATCCAAAGTTTCAATTTTTTAACTACACTATTAAAAAATTTTGTCTAAAATTTTCGGTACAGTTTTTGGAAATTTTTATCGAATTTAATTACCACTGAAATTTTAAAGAATTTCGTCATTAAAAATTCAGAATTTCAGTTTCATTTTTCCGTGAAAATGAATAGTAAATCAGAAAATTCCGGTAAATACACACTTAAATTTTCAGGACCGTGACACTGAATGCGATTTAGGACGAAAAGTCACGACATTTCAGATTTCACTGAAAATTCAATGTAACTTGACACTGAATGTCACATTAGATTGGAAATTCAAATAAATTTAGGAATTCTCGTCTTTATACTGCTTAAAATTCGGAATTTGCCTGAATTTTCAGTGAAACTTGAAATTTTATTATTTTTTTCTCCTAAATAGCATTCAGTGTCCCGGTTTTGAAAATTAGTAGTAAACTGACCTTGAAATTTCATTTTTTTTCTAACAGTATATATTCCCTATACCTTGAGCATTTTTGTAAGAGAAAATCATATACCGCGAGTACTGACGGATTAATAAACTCATCTCTCTCTCCCAATTTGCTTCGGAATGACATTCATAACTGTTCATCGATGATCCTCCAAGTAAAACTCTATTAAGCGTAACAAAAAAAATCTCTTCATTTTCGTCTTTTTAACCGTCTTAACAAATCGTTCTCTAATTGTCTCTCCTACAATGAAATCACAGAATCATGGACGGCCGAGAGGAATTGAACCACGGAAAGAGAGTCCTCGCCTCTACAAACACTTTCTTCGAGGTCACGGGACTCCAACAACACGTGGAGTACCAATTCTGGGTGACTGCCAGTACCCGCGTTGGAGAGGGTCAGAGCTCGACAGTAGCTGCTGCAATGCCCAAAAACCACGTGACTGCAAAAATAACGTCATTCGGAGGTCACATCGTGAAACCGTGGCGTGGATCCGTCTCGATGGCGTGTCATGCAGTGGGAGATCCCGCTAGGGAGTGGTTCAAGGGTCTCTCTGAACAAGTTCATTCTGATACCAGCAGAAACATCCAAATTCTACAAACCGGAGAATTGGTGCTGTCTAATATTCAATTGCAGGATAGTGGAAATTACACGTGTCAGGTTGAAAATTCATTGGGGAGTGATAGACTGCATTATAGTCTTATTGTTCAAGGTAAATTGTCGGTTTCATCGATAACATTCCTTCAAAAGAATCCTCTTCTGTATCGATTTCGCCCGCCACGTCCATTAGATCCATTAGTCTACTCAGTGAGATCCCTTTAATTCTGTTTTCAGTGCCACCGAGTGCTCCAGTCCTCTACGTCACCAGTTCCACCGCGACAAGTGTCCTTCTTCATTGGAAAGCCGGATACAATGGGGGATCGCCTACCACGGGATACACTTTGCATTACCGAACGACTCATGGCAATCTAGATGAACTCCAATTGCCTCGAAGAGCCACTAATCATGAATTAAAGGTACATTAAGAGATCCTCACACAATCCATTCCCTCAAATGGAATTGGCTGACATCAAGAGATTTTTTTTTCAACAGGGCCTTCTTTGTGGTAATATGTACCATTTGTATTTGACATCTCATAACAAAATTGGAAGCAGTGCAGCATCTCCAGTGCTCTCAGTACGAACGCAGGGACAACCACCTGGCATTCCACCGGCTGCTGCATTTTTATCACCGAATTCCACTACTCTAGCTTTACGTCTTTCCACGTGGCCTGACAACGGCTGTCCGATTCAATACTTCGTTATTCAGTATCGCCCCATGGACGAATTTCACTGGACACTGGTTTCTAATAATGTTACACCTCAGAAGAGATTCCTGGTTACGAATTTATCACCTAGCACTGTTTATCAGCTGAAAGTTGAGGCTTATAACGTTGCGGGGAGCAATCAGGCAGAGTTTAGTTTTGTCACGTTGACGAAGGACGGGGGTAAGTCAACAGAGAATATTCGTTTAAAATTTTAGAAAACTAGATACTAAACTAGGGAACTAGTCACATGGAGAAAACAAGCAGGGGACAGCGAGCATATGACAGTGGTGCAGTTGTGCATTTTGTCTACATTATCGACCAGTCGGCAATGTGGAAAAAATACTGAAATTAGCGATAACCCATTTAACCTCATGTATAAGCAGCAACTTTAAAAATAATTTTTGTTGTAGCTCTGCTTTTGAGATTCCTTAAATTTTTGCAATTGGTGTCTAAATGGATTCAATAATGTGTGAAAAAATCTTCATAAAATTGGCTGCATTTGTTGACTATCCTACTCCTCGTTCAATTATCCTTAAGGAATTTGAGCAGGAATTTCGGGAGATACGTTTATTCCAAGAAATGTTTACAGCTTCAATAATGGTCTTTTGATATACTTCCATGATTTTTTTTAATTATCCAATCTCAGGTTTAGGACCTAAAACTGATAAAAAATTATGCTTGAATTTTCCAGATGCACCCCCACCAGAGTTGACAGAACGTGGATCAGCGTCGGCATTGCCATTTTATGCCGACGTCAAAGTTATGATTCCAATGATAATTTCGATGTTCGCTATTTTTGCGGTATTTGCTGGGGTAGCATTGAGATTGAAAAGTAGGCATTTGGGGGACCGGCAGCAGCGGCCGATGAAGGAGACCCAGGAGAATCAGCAGAACGCCGAGACGCAGAGGGAGCGGTACTACGCGACGATTCACAAGGTCGCTCTTCAGCAGGCTGCCAACGCCGGAGGTCCGGACAAGATTCCAGGTGAAAATTTCTTTTGAAACAAAATCAATGACAATGGTAACAGAGTGTTTAGTTTTAATGGAATGTGCAACTCCTAAAATCGTAAAACATCAATTGGAATTTTTAAAAATTGTACAGGCATGATTTTCAACTTCAAAAGAGGTCTCATACTTTTGGTGCGAAGAATATTTCTTCAATGGATTTCAGTCCCAAATAGTTCCCATAATTATCTTTTTTTATTTAGACTTCTCTCCTACCTCATCGTTTCAATATTCACATCAATAATCAATGTGTTTCGAACTGAAAAATTATATTTCGCAATTTTCTTTCATGTCGAATATCTCATCTATTATAATTTAATCCAGGTTTTTACCAAGCCATTCAAACGAACAGCAATCACAATAGTCTAGGACCAATTCCCCAATTATTATAATCCCTAACAGAAATTTATCGAAATTCTGCGATATTGAGCCAAAGTGCCTGTACCTATAACATTGAATGTCGCACCCCAACACACGCTGCGACATTTTTGCGCTATGAAATTTTTACCAGGGATCCCGTCATCTTACAGTTTATCCGCCATCAATGCAAATATCGTACTCCCTTCCACACAAAAATCTGACATCTTGAGATACACCCCCAATTTTTGCCTTGCCAAGAGAGAAATTTTCGTTCCTGTGGCACTTCAACTCCAAGTTTCAAGGGAACCGCACCACTTTAAGGATGATCGTTCGAGGAGGAAATGTAGTAGGTGAGGCGGAGGGGTTTCTATTGTTTTCCTGCAGAAAACCAATCGCTGAACAAAAAAATTTTTCCCATTCGGATTCAAAATTCAGGCAATATTAGGGAGTATCTCCGGTTAAAAATTATTCTTGGAGCTAATCAAATTTATTTGTATCTGTTCCACGCATTGAATGGTTTTCAGATTGTTTTTTTTAATAAATTAAAAAACATTAATCCATGCAAAAAAGTGGCAACATCGTCGGTAGTTTTTTTTTTCACCAGGAGCTGGTACCACTGGCTCGAGGGAGCTCCAATCACAACGCTTCATCGCTCTCTCTCAAGAGATGTTTAAATTGAACGCGCTACCCCCACCCGATCGGTACTTGGGACGTTGCTGCTCGTTTGGGCTGCGTGCACAGAAATTTCATTTTTCAGTACTTTTTTCGCTATTATTAATAAACAATGCTCCTAGGCGACCATCTTTTTCACTCAAAAAATCATTGATCACATGTTCTAAATGTGTCTAAAGTTTCATGACTTTGGCTGCATTTTTTCCTTGGGTGTTGCAGTTTTTTTTGTGATTTCCATAAGATCACGAGTTAAATGACCACTTTTTCAAAAATTCATAATAAATTAACCATGCTCCCCAGCAGTCTGAAACTTTGCACACGTCTTTTCCATCATTTAAAGAATACGTAAAAAAAAAAGAAAAAAATGGCTGCTTTTTTTCCAACCCTCCGGGCTCGCCCGATTATCCTTAAATTCTTGAGAACTCGATGAGACATTGGGCATAAATTCAATCTTGCCGGCATTACAGTTATCCAACTAAGTTTTTAACAACAAAATTAATGTGATCATTCAGATCATAGCAAAGAGTTCTTGAGTGTACTTCGAGAAAATTATTAAAAATAAACGAAAAACATTTGTATAATTTTTAAATTATGTAAATGATACCTTAATCATTTTAACAAAATAAAAGTGAATTATTCGAGTACATTTAATTATTAGCTCGAAAGTATCGATTATTTTAGGATGGTCGAGACACAATATTTTGTTTCGTTTGTCGTTTCATATGAACATCTGGATATCTTAATATTCACATTGAGAATAGTTTCACCTATTTTGTAATAGAGAACAGGAATCGGAAGAATCATCAATTTCAAAATAAGTTAAATTTAGCTTATGTTAACTGATAATATTATCCAACAATTTTCAGTTACCAAATTAATCATCAATCGAATATTTAAATTACGAAATAATCTATCAACCAGTAATCGTAGTTACTCAATAGTTGATAAAAAGTTTAATCTAAGAATTATTTTATTATTTTCAAATTTCAATTAAGATTAAAAATCCATAGTAATAGAAAGGTGCAAATTCTAATAATATTACAAAATATTACAAATCTAATGATTGTCGTCCGATCGCTGATAGAGAACGATTCCAGATTTCCCTCGAAAACGACAAAGTAATTCAATGAATAAATTACGACGTGATTTGAAAGGTAGGCAATTGCCACTGTTGGGTTACAGAGACGGCGGAGGACATCTCTCCGTACGCTACGTTCCAGCTTTCGGAAGGGGGAGGGGGAAGCCTGGCAGGGCTGGGAGGATTGGGAGGACTTGGAGGTGCGGCCGAAGCGTCGGCAGCAGGTCTCCATCCCAACAATACTCTGCTACACAGCTTCATGTACCACGAGCATGCAATGACGGAGGGGTGCGCGAGTCCACCGCCAGCGGTGACGGTACGTTGTTAATGAAATGATAATTTCAGGATAAAAAAACCCTTTGAAATACTTTTTTTTTCATTTTCAAATTTCTCATTCAATGTCATATTTTTGAAATTATTTTTAACCAAATTCGTTCCGATTTCATGTGAGAGCTTACAACTAGCCTCAATATCATATTTCCTCATTGAATTTCAAATGAATTAATCCTGATTATCCAATATTAACCCCTCAAGTATGGCGCCCATGTCGCGCGGGGTGTCGCTCGTCGGCCGGCGGTCTCCCGTCAACTCCAATTCGCTATTCAATACGCGACAAATTCTATACTGATGATCAGGGTTGAATGTACAAATTACATTGGTAAATTACACAATTTTTTACCGACGTAATTTACGTAAATTACCCTGATGGGTGTTTTACATTTTTTACGTCACTTCGGAAAATTTAAATTTTTCGGTTATTGGGATGTTGTATTTTATTCTGAATGATGAAGTGGCAGTGTTGGGGCTGTTCAAATATTACTTCACACGTTTTTTGGCCTTTTTAGATCCCCTCCCCCCACCCCTCAGTCACAACGATGAACCTACCCTTGCATATTACGTCATATGACCTTCGCCAGGCTTCACGATTCACGATGAACTGTAATGTTTTACAGTATTTATTACATAAATTACGGGTCTTTTACAACGTTATATAAAAAACTGCCGTTATCGACAGATGCCCAACCATACTGATGATCAGAAATTACGAAATAAAACTGAATGATAATCTCGTGTCGATCTCACTTCTCGAGCTTGAACTTTTATAATCATCTTGATATTCCCCTATGCCAAGTTGAATATCTTTCCGAAGGTTTCTCCTTAGAGATCAAAGTATTGTCAATATCAGAATGTCGAATCTCTCCAACTCTTATTTGAGAATAGGAGCGAGCTTGCTAACTTTTCATCCCCACTCCAACTGTCCCAATTGTTACATTCCAGAGTCTAAATTCCTTAAGGTATATCCCAAGACAATCGGACCCAAAAGTTAGTCCCTGTGGATTTCCGGAAAAATCTAAATAACTTAATTTATTGCATTCTCATACGTTATCGAGTTGTTCTATTCTCATGTGCTGTTGATGCAGGCAACAATAACTATTTGAATCAAATCAGAAATTATTTGTTAATTAATTTTTTTGCTTTTACGAAATTTTCATTTTTTAGAGTTGAACTAAGAGGCAACGACCCGTGCTCGCTTCGCTCGCCAAACCCCATATGCCCCTCATGTAATCCCCATATGACCTTCATGATCCTTATTCTGACTCTCATTCTGATTCATTATACCCCCGCGAACCTTATTTTTACCCTTCATTTCTGACCCTTAATTTTGGAGTCTTGATTTCGAGTACCAAATTTTCGTAACGAGACGTCGATTTGGATTTTTATAATATATATAGACCCTTGTAGTGATTTATTTTAATTAAATTGGTATTATTATTACTTTTTTTTTATTTTGTTCAACTAAAACAACTCACCACATTATTTTTAAAACTCACATTTCGTCCAAGTGACGAGTAAAGAACGTTGAATAGATTCACACATATAACAAATAGAATCAACACCAAAACCATCGAGAAAATAATTTTATCAGTCAATCGAAAATTTGATAACAGAGAATCGAGTAATCCACAAAGTAGAAAAACGACGCAGCAAAGTAGAAATTCAGCCACAAAATTCATATTTCCATCCAGAAAAAAATCAAAGAATAATTTGAATAGTCTCACATATCTCCAAAAAATCCTCACAAATAAATCTTGAAAATAATATTATAGCTGAATTGAATTTTCTCAATTATAGAAATAATTAAATAAATAACACTAGAGAAAAATGCCACCAGAAATGACTTAGAAACTGACTCAAAATTCATTTTTCCTACCAATTTAATTCTTCAGGAGATATTAGCATTCAAATAATCAATCAAAAATTATCAAGAAATTTTTAAGATTTTGTACATAATAAATAAACCATCAGGTTTCGTCACGAGCTTCTATACATGAGCCAAAGTAGTCACATGTTTCGATCTTAGAAATTTCATAGTAAAAAGGAAAAATACACAAAAATATAATTAGTAAATTTTCCCCAAAAAATATTTATCAAAAAAAAAGGTCTGAGACAAGAAACAGAAAATAAACAAAAAATTGGTGCACCAGTACTTATCTTAAAGAAATAAAAAATAAAATGGCTTCTCTTCTCAGTCTGTGTGTGGGTACCCACAAACAGACTTATTGACACCGTGTGGCCAGTACGGTGGTCCGAGGGCGAGAGAGCGAACGGGCTCAGAAGCGTCGTCTCCCAACCCATCGGTCGCAAACTATTTGTTTGTGTTGAATGTAAACTCATTCAAATATTTCTGGATTTATTGGATTGGATATGAAGAAATCTACATTTTATATCGTCGATAATTTTAAATCAGCACACCCTCTTATTTTCACCCTTGTGATCCTCAGTTTCTGACCACCATGATCCTTATTTGGACCCTTAATCTAACCCTTGTGACCCATATTTGGCTCCTTAATCTGACCTTCACGATAACCCTCGCGACCCTTGTTTTGACCCTGGTGACCTTTAGCTTCTGACCCTTGGCTTTTGACCCCCATGACCCTTATTTAGACCCTTACTCTGACTCTTGTGACCCATATGGCCTATAATCTGACCCTTGTGTCCCTTATTTTACCGCTGGTGACCTTTATCTTCTGACCCTTCGTTTTTGACTGCCATGACCCTTATTTGCACCCTTACTCTGACCCTTGTGACCCTTAACCTGAACTTCGTAAACCTTATTTGGACCCTTCATCTGATCCTTGTGGCAGTTAATTAGACTTTTATTCTAACCCTTGTGACCCTTTTTTGAGCCTTAATTTTGAGTACCAAACTTTCATCACTAGAAGTCAATTTTGATTTTTTTATAATATAGAGAGATATCGCAGAAATTATGGAGTACAAAATTTTACAAAAAATTCACCGCATTCGGAATTTATCAATCTATCACGGATTAATGTGTTAAAAACATTGTATGAACCGTTTTCTTATAAGACGGACAAATCGAGTTGGGGGGACCCATAACCCCCGTTTGACCTATGCCTCGCGTGTTAGAAGCCTCCATTTTATTATTCATTATCTCCTAAACTGTATAGTACGGCTAGTTAGCATTTTTACTACCGAATGGAAGCATTGCAATCCTTCGATTTTCACATTCTCCAATTTTGATTGAAAATGATGTAGAATGGTCTGAAACGTAAAAATACGAAGTTTGGCGACCATATCTGAATGTAATCACGTCCACCGCCACCTTCCCGGTGGTCAATATTTAGAAAATTGAGTAATTAAGTAGCTAAAAAAAATTTCAAAAAATCTGTAATTTTGTCAGATTATAGGTCCTAATGAGGACTAACTCTGTGCAAAATTTCAGCCCGATCGAGCTAATAGTTTTTCAGAGAAAACGATTCATTTTTAAATCGTTTTCCGCAAATGTTCAAAAGTAGTGGACCGATTTCGATTTTTTTTTTCAAAGTATTCGTTTCGACGCCTTCTATCTAAATCAATCAAAACGTTTATCCCCGTTCATACAAAGTTTTCGAGATATTCCCGTTTGTCTGTTTTTTCATAAAAAAAAAACTTTGTAAACACTCTAGCTTGTGCAAAAAACGAGATATTAACTTGAAATTCCCACCGAATCTTCCTCTTATGATAACAATTGTGACCTTCACCTTTGCTATTATTCTATTTATTAATAGTAATCGGGGTGGGCTAGCTCAAATAAAGGAACAATAAGGGATAAAGTCAAATATATATATTCTTAACTTTTTACAATACAGATCGTCAGAAGACGTTATTAGAGCCTTTTATCTTTGATCCAGTAAAAGAAAATGGGGGAGATGCTAATTCTTTTTAAGACAAAGGGGAGAAGCTAGTCCGGTTCAGGGAAATCTAAATAAATAATAATCTCAATAAACCCACTCTTCAATCAAACTTTACTGGGGACAAAACAAATGTGGGCTCACCGTTGGGGGTAATGATAAAGGGAAAAAATGGTAAATCGGGAAAATGGGGGAGGTAACTCGGACTCACGCGTCTCGCTACACTGGGCTTCTCCTCGACTCTGGGGTATCTCCTACTTCTTGGGGCTTCTCAAATGTTGAGCCTCCGTTTCTCCTCGGCGACTCCTGGATTTCGGTTACTAATTGTTGGGATTGTACTCGGCAATTCTTCCACTTATTTTCTCCTTCCAATCTCTCAATAGAAAAAACACGTCTATACACTAGGGCAGCTGTCGAACGAGTGACGCTTCGTCTCGCCGTTCTTTCCCCCTTTTCTCCTTCGCCTTTCTTCGGTTACGTCTTCGGGGGGGCAATCAAACTGATTTACCTAGATTTGTGGTGACAATGCAGGGACCTGTGAAGTCGATGATTGAGGGGCGTGACATTTTCGGGGGCTCTTGCGTGGGGTAATTCTTGGGGGCACGGGCTCCTGCGGTTTGCGTAGTAGAGTCGGCGATGACAGCAGCTTCGGGTGACGTTGTTTCAATTGCGGGGTGAGTGTAGTCAAGTGAATGTGGGGGGGAAGGGGAAATGGGGGGGAAAATCAAGGACCCAACGGCGGCGGAATACACAATATTAGGGGGCTTATCGTGGAGGAGGAAAAATATGGGAAATGGCGGTGAAAATATGCAAAAATGATGATGAAAACTTCTGCCTCGTCACACAATGTTTCGTATTGAAGATGGGTTCAAACACATCAGTAGTTTCGGAGATATTTGACTTTTTCTGAAAACTAGATTAGTCCGCGCGCGCCGCGCGTGTATATCCTACTCCATGGGGTTCAATGTATGTCAATTCTGGTAAATAATGTTATATTAGATTTCTGAAGTTAATATCAAGTTTTTCGAAGGAAAAGTTTCGATTTTTTACAAATGATGATAGCATACATTAAAGATATTACGATAATGCTATGTTATATTATATTCTACACTATCCTATATTATATAAACTATGTGTAATATACAATATATAATAGAGTACTATATGAAAAAATGAGTAGAAAAATGAATAGAGTACTATATGAAAAAATTATAATAAACTGATAACAATTATAACATACATTGATACAATATAGTATAGAATATAGTATGATATAGTATTATCGTAATATCTGTAATGTATGTTATCATCATTTATAAAAAACCTAATGACACAATACGCCGGATAGATTGACTTCAAAAAACGTTACACTGGATTTTTTATTAAAGGATCGTTTACATCGAATATCTTCAAGACTATGCAACCAATTTCACTTTTTCTTTTTTCAAAACATTCGTGTCGACGCCTTCTGTCTAAATCAATCAAAACATATACAGCCGTCCATACAAAGTTTTCGAGATATTCCCGTTTTTCCGTTTTTTCATAAAGAACTTTGTAAACACTCTAGCTTGTGCAAAAATCGAGACATCAACTTGTTTTCAATAGCTGGGAACTATTACAAACATTATCTATGAAACATTTTTATATTGCCCGGTGGCTTGGCGCAGTGGGTAAGTTCATTGCCTCACGTGCGAAAGGTTCCGAGTTCAAAACCCGGCCGGATAGAATGGTGAGATCTAACCATTTAAAATCTTGGTCATCATCGCAGCATGTCCTAACCGGGTCGAAGCGATGGAAAATAACGCTTAAAAAAAAATTTTATCTACGAAACATTTTTTGGGCACTTTAAATTCATTTTTCCTCGTTACCCTCAACGACTCAACTAAAATACGTTCGATCCTATTCTCATCAGCAAATTTGATGGTTGAAAATTCTGAAATTCATATTGAATATCCCGCGATATTTGCAAAATAATTTAAAAACCGATTTGAACGTCTCTCATTTCCCCGTTACGCTGGTGAACTCACCGAGGAGAAACGAATGTTTCATTTCTTTATGCATACAATTCAATTAGCTTGAGCCATCCTCTGTTAATATGCTTGAATCGATTAATATGGTAATCCCAATGAAACGTGTGTTTTGATCACCAACAGAGTATGAAGAGTGTGTCGTCACGACGACGCCAGCAGAGGAAGCAACATACACACGGGGACGACAGTGACGAGAGCGAGTCTGACCCGGACCAACTGACTCGCTCGAGAACCGAGTCGTCCAACCAACTGGACGCCGGCAAACTAAAGCACAGTACGTACCAATTTCCCCCTCCCCCCCAAACTCTGAAAACTCAATAAACCAAAAACCACTCTACCCTCGTTTTCTGCTCAATCAATTAAACTTTCAGTTCGAGCTGTTTCGGATTTCATTTACCACGGCACGTCGAGCACTTCGTCAGATATATCGCCAATGTGCGAGCAGAAGTCGTTACCGAGACGAGGACGATCCAGGTACTCCATTTATTCGTAATTTAATTCACAAAAAGTAATTAAAAAAAAGATTTATCCTCAATTGTGAGACGATAGACGAATAAGAAAAAATGTCAAACCAAATTCAAAATGATATAAAACAAGAAAATGGCTGTCTCTGAAGATGGCACGTTCCCAGCAGGAGTTCCCTGAGGATGCTGCTTCCCCCGATGTCAGTGGCCGAGACGGCATTTGTCAGTAATCAAGGAAACATACCTGGCAATGGCGACAGGAATGATCGACATGAATTGAGCGAGGCCGAGTGCGATATTGATTCACTGAAGAAGCCAAAACTCGGCCTCAGAAGTTCCCTGTGGTCGAGACCCGGTACACAGAACAATCCATCCTCGGATTACTCCATTGCAGTTTGAACGGTTACCAATTTAATATGAGAAAAGAAACAACACCTCAAGTTACTTTGAATAATTTAAAGTCTCAACATTCCATGACGTACTTCTGATACGTCCATATGACCCAACCCCTCACCAAGGAGCACTCGTCATGACCAACTATATGTTGTTTAACCATTTTTTGACTGACAAATGAGCCTTTGGAGATAAGTATAGACTGACGTTAATCATCTAGATACTGCCGATACCACAGTCTTCCTTTCTCTCTTCCTCAAATATCAGGTCTAACACTATGTTTTTCCTCTCTACCACTGCCAGAGCGTACGAAGACATCTCCGAAGGCCTTGTAAACTTTCATCTATCACCAATGATTGAACCAATAATCAATTGTAAATAATTTTTTGTATGAGTTTTTGCACATGACGAGGAGCACGAGTAAATGCGACGAATGACTGTGATTGAAGAGTGCTTCTAGTCGAAAAAAGGAGAGGACTTAACACTGTGGAGAGTACCGTAATGTATTGATGCATGCCAAAGATAAGTAAATAAATAAAAACCAATGAAACAAATCGATAATTTGCTCAGTACGCTTCGGACAGCCTCTCTGAAAGGTCTAATCGATAGCGAATACCCATCCGAGACCAAAAGACTTGACTATTCGTACGGCTAATTTGTGCAGCATCATTTCTCAGAGTCCATCGGGCCATAAATGCAAATTTACCAATTAACACAGGATTATTAAATTTCAAGAAAAAAATGACGATGAAGAAGTAATTGTCAAAAAAATGAAAATTGATAAAAAGTGGGTGTTTCGATCGGCTTTTTTGTCAGTCATTTTGACTTGATGCCAAAATGACGTTAATTATCAAACGAAGTTGGGCTCTGTTGCATTATAAAGTTTATGATACGTACGAATACCACGTTGATTAATTTAAATACGTTATAATTCTAAGACTTTTGAAATGACAAGTTGCGCGCGAATGGGCAATTCATGATTTTTGTATATTTAACGAATGGTGCAGAAATTCAACCAATACTATGAATAAAATCATCTTCACGTTGAGACGTGATGCAAGAGCGATGTATATAGGCAAGCAACGTCAATCAAATTATCATTTAATTTTAATGACCTTCGAGGTCATTTATACAATATACTTTATAAAAAAAATGAAAGTTCAGCTCCATCAGGAGAATAACTGTGTGAAGAAACAAATTTTTGTACATTTTTTCTTATCGCGCGCTCCTTACAACCTTTTTTCTAACGTCGAACTATACGCACATCTTTCAGTTTCCTCCCTTTGGAGAAAATTAAATAAAAAAATATGAATTCATAGAATTGGATAATGTCACGACCTTTGAACAGAGAAGAGTGCGTTTTTAATTTTGTGATGATCGTGAAGGGGCTATTAATCAAATGAATGATAATTATTATGGTGTAAATTAAAAAAAAATGGAAATGCAGAGAGAGATGGAGCAATAAATGAAGTGTGATGGAAGTGAGTTTCATCGTGTTTTATCGTCCCTGAAGGAATCTAAGTATGGACAAAGTTATGTTAATATTATCAGTGTACGATGAAAGTCGTTTCAAGGCATAAATATCGATCGTAGAGTCGATTAAATAAATTGATATCACGTAAGAACATGCGTATAATTTTCATTGGACCTCCATCTCGTTCACCTTTTGCTTATTTCTTTTTTTTTCATCCTCGAGTAAATTCAATAACCCGTAAGTGCAGCAAAGGTCGAGTCCATATCGTCGCAGATATACTTAGATTTCTGTTTCTCTCTGAACAGCCAATCTAGAATAATTTGATTTCAGTGATTTTATTGAATTAATCGAATGCTGGATTTTTCGAATCTCATTATCAACTTTGAATGCATTTTTTTACCTTCACGTATATCCAACTCCTTCTGCAGTATTTTGATTTGATTTTCAGCAATTACAGCTCGTCTCTCTGCGTCCTTTAACTTCACCTTCAACTCCTTGAGCTGTTGCTTAAACGCTTCAACTCGCTGATTAGCTTTCTCTTCCGAAACTTCGAGAGACTTCAATATATTACCGACGATGAACAGTTCATCCTCACGCTCAACAATTTTCCTAACAAATTAGGTAGATTGAAGGAGTTTAGTTTTACTTTTCAGGTGATTCACTTACGCATCACTGCATCTGATTCTGTCCTCAGTAGCTTCGAGCTGATCTTCGACGAATGCCAGTCGTCGAGATATCTCATCGGACTTGGCATCAGCGTCTTCAGCTATCAATCGGACTTCCTTCAATTGCATTGTCAGCTGATCCATTCGTTCGTAGTCTTGTTTACTATGATTCTCGAGGCCTTTGCAGATTCTATTCAATAAGAGAATTCATTATATGTAAGTAGAGATGTGGAATGATCGTCTTTTTCCCTTCCAGTCAGGTCAGACATTGATAGTTGGTTTCTGGATATTTTCTGACCCTGACCAAATTTTCTATGCAAAATGACCGTAACAGTTAAGCTGTATCAGACACGAGCCAAAATAACCAAAAATCGTCTATACAGGGTATCCCACGACCGATCCTTTTCCTTCGAGGGTATTGAAAAGGATGCTTTTTGAAGTGGAAAGGTCCTCTTCCATTTTTGGATCTGAATACTTTTTTTTGTCCGTCCTTTTTTTCGTTTGATCTGTTACTACTGATTCCTAGGGTGGATATTTATTGTTTACTAATCCTCTGAATAAATATTAGAATTTTTAGTGATTCAAACGCTCCACATTTTTATCACCTTCACCATCAGGTTATAGGCCCAGAAAATGTGCCATGTTTATTGATGGAGCAAAAATTTTTCAAGTGATTTTTGGAGATATGTGCTGTGGGCACGCGTCAGGTGTGGACAACGAGAAATACCGTTGTGTTACTGATTGAACGGGAAAAACCGTTGTGTTTTTGGTTGGAGATATTGTTGTCATTTTGTAACTAGAGGAAGGAAGACTTCGCTCAAGATGACGAGTACAACATCGAAATTCGATAAATTAAACAAGGAGAATTATGATACTTGCGAAATTCAAATGAAGGCCATGTTGATTAAATGCAAATTGTAGGATTTCGTCAGCGGGACAAATGCGCAACCGGCGCTTACTGCACCTACTTATGCAGCATGGAAGGAAAAAGATGAGCAGGCTTTTGCGGAGCTTGTTTTGGGAATTGAGCGGTCCGAGATCAAGAGAATTAAGAAGTGTTTAACATCAAGAGAGTCCTGGTTAGCATTAAAAACGGAGTATCAGACTAGAGGGCCCGCTCGAAAGGTTCGTTTGCTCGATAAACTGGCGTCTCATGGAATGCAGTAAGGTGAAAATTTGGAGCAGCATTCAGATGACTTTATGGATTCAGTGGACAAATTGGAGGAGATTGACATCGTGGTGCAGAAGGACCTGCTGTCGGTGTTGATGATGCGAAATTTACCGCCTTCTTTTGATGGGTTTCAACGTGCAATGATGGCAGGGAGAGATGAGCTTCCTAAACCGGAGGTCGTGAAAAAAAATTCGCGAGGATTATGAGTCTCGACAGAATGATTCGGCAGTTTCGTCTGGTCAGGATGTTATGTTTGTCAAGGGAGCTACAAACAGAGGGGGAGATAAACAGAGGAGGTTTTCCAACGGTAATTCTAATCAGAATTATCGCGGTCGGAATTACAGTTCACAACAAAATTTTTATCGAGGTCTCCAGTCAAGTCACAGTTCACAACAAACTGGAGATAATTCAGGTGTGTCAAAACCAAATATTATATATTTGAGATGCAATCGACCGGGTCATATTGCTCGTTCCTGTTTTGCAAAGCTTCCCCAGTCGCAATCGCGACAACAGTTACATTCACAGCCACATTCGCACCTGATTCAAGATGATGATCAAAATGGAAGTAAGATCGTGAGTCGGGCTGATACGGTTGAAGAAATCGCTCTTCGCGCTGGTCCAGAATGTTTAAACACAGTGGTGTCTGGACAGCGGTTGTTCCTCTCGAATGATGGCTCACAGGGAAATTTTTGATAAGTATGCAGACATTAATAAACCATTGAATCTGGCAAACAAGGAGGTTACTCAGATAACAGGTGTTGGAGAAGTCAAGGTCATTATTAATAATGGAGAAAGGAGTCAAAATTTGAGGCTACTTCAAGTCTATCACGTTGGAGATCTTCGTATGAATTTAATGTCAGTATCAAAAATCACAGATCATAGTTTCAGTATTGTTTTTCGTAAGGATAGAGCTGTGGTGAAGTATAAAAATGGAAATGTTTTGATGTTTGCTAAAAGGAGAGGCTATTTGTACTATGTTGATTGGGGAACTGAGACTAGTTACATAGCTGATACGACTGGCACCTGGAAGCCTGGTAATTTATTGGAGCTCTGGCATTATCGTCTGGGACACTTGACTACGGTGGATCTGAAGAAGATGAGGAGCAGTAACTGCGTTTATGGAATGGATTTCAAACCTGAGGAGGAGATGAGAGATTGCGAGATATGTGCTCGAGAGAAATTGACTCGTTTACCCTTTCAGTTGTCTAAAAAAGAGAGAACGACGGATGTGTTGGAGATTATTCATATGGATATTTATGGACCAATGAGAAGTGCCTCTTATTCTGGGAAAGGTTATTTGATCGTTTTTGTCGATGATAAATCCAGGTGGTGTACGGTGGATTTTTTGAGAGAAAAATCAGAGGCTTTGGAGAGTTTTAAGAAGTTCAAGCCTCAGGTGGAGAGGGAGACGGGTAGAAGAATAAAGTTCTTGCAATCAGACAACGCTAAAGAGTTTTTAAGCAGCGAGTTTGAGGTTTTCCTGGCTCAACAAGGGATTCAACGACGTCTGTCAATACCTTATCCCCCTCAGCAGAATGGTATTGCTTAGAGGATGAATAGAACGCTGGGCGAAATGGCACGATGTTTACTGAGACAAGGTCATATGTCACCTGTTTTCTGGGCTGAGGCTGTGAATACGGCCTGTTATATTCGAAATCGGTGTGTGAGTAAATCATTGGAGGAAAAAACTCCTCATGAAGTTTGGAAGAATAAGGTACCAACTTTAGTTTATGTTAAGACGTTTGGTTGTCAAGCATTTGTTTTAAACAAGACACAGAAGGGCAAGTTCAATTCTCGAGGAATTGAATTTGTTATTGTTGGATATTCTTCAGTCTCGAAGGCGTATAGATTTTGGAGTCCAGAGAAGAGGAAAATTCTAGTCAGTCGAGATGCCAGGTTCATGGATTCATTCTTCTTCAACGAGGGTTTCGAGGATTTTTATGGCGAGAAGGAGATAGTTGTACAGGAAGAGCGTTGTGAAGATGATGTTTCGAAAATTGAGGTAAAAACTGTTCTCAATCCTTGGGACATGACAGATGAGGAGATTGAAGGTCTTGGAGAAATTGAACGTCGAGCAGTCAGGAGAAGGGTTCCAAGTGCCCCTGTTCGTCGTGCTCCGGGTAGGCCAAGAATTGAGAGGACTGGTTCGGTGGGCAGACCAAGAAAAATATATAATTTACATGATCTTGAAGTTGATATGCAAGATGAGGAGAATGATGAGCAACAGTCATTTGCACCAAGAGTTTCTGAGATTGTCATAGATGATGTTTTTGAGGGCGATGTCGAGGCAGAGTCATGTTTTTGTGAAGAGTTTGTCAATTTTTCTGTTGGTCCAGATTCTGACACTTGGGAAGAGGCTGAGAAGACTGGTGAGTTTGAGAGTTGGAGAGCTGCTTCAGAGGACGAATTCATTTCATTGGTTTTTAATGAGACTTGAGAAGTAGTGAATCACCCTTTGCATAGGAAGGTGATCAAGAATCGTCTGGTGTTTCGTACTAAACAGGATGGAGAAAAAACAAAGAACAAGGTGCGTCTTGTGGCGAAGGGCTGTCCGCAGAATCCTGGAGAGGATTTCACTGAGACTTATTCACCTGTAGTAAAAACTACTACTATTCATCTTCTGGCAGCGTTGGCAGCAGAAAAAGGTATGGAAATTCAACAGATGGATGTTGTGACGGCGTATTTGAACGGATTCCTGGAGGAAATAGTTTACATGGATACTCCAACGCAACTAGAAGAGATTTTGGAAAAAATCGTCGCTGGGAAACCTGTATGATGTGGACGAAAGGTGGTGACTGACCAGAAAATAATTTCAACAGTTGAGAAGTGGATGAGGGGCTTGAGGGCGAAGAACAGTCCAGTTTATCTGTTGAAACGATCGTTATACGGATTGAAACATTTAGGGGTGCAGTGGTATAAAAGGCTGAGGGCTGAGTTGCTGAAAATGGGGTTGGACTATTCCCCCCTTGATCCATGTCTTTTCTTCATGAACGATGGCAAAAATCTGTGGTGGTCACTATATGTGGATGACATTTTAATTGCATCGAATTGTCCAGAGTGGAGACAGAGTGGAAACCTTTCAAATGAAAGATCTTGGTCAAGTCAACAAGTGTTTGGGTATTCAGTTCATTCAGGATGAGGTGAATCACAGCGTGCAGTTGTGTCAACGTGATTATATTGATAACTTGCTGGAGGTTTATTTCGGAATGACGAATTGTAAAGCTGTCAGTACACCTATTTTGACACATTGCGCGTTGACACGCCCAGAGAAGATTGATGAGAAGATTATGGGGGACTTGCCCGATCAAAATCTGATTGGAGGTCTGTTGTATCTGGCCATCTCCACATGTCCAGATATCTCTTTTGCTGTGAGTTTCTTAAGTCAATTCAATTCTTGTTATAATGAAACTCACTGGAAAGCTGCAAAACGAGTACTGAGGTACCTGAAGAGGACAAGAGACTATCGATTGAACTTTAAGAAAACTGGAGAAGATCTGCATGGTTTTGTCAACGCTGATTGGGGTAACATTCTGGGAGATCGACGTTCTTTTTCTGGCTACGCTTTTGTCATGGGATCATGTCCGATCAGCTAGAAGGCTCGAAAGCAACGGACTGTGGCTTTGTCGACGACGGAGTCAGAGTATATGGCAATTAGTGAAGCAACTCGTGAGGCATTATTTTTGAAAGGTATTCTCAGATCAATTGGATTCTCAATTAATTGTATTTCTTTATTCAACGATTGTCAGAGTGCTCAAAAGTTAATTCGAGGTCATGCAATTCATTTGAGGTCTAAACATATTGATATCCGTCATTACTTTATTCGTGAGAAACTGGATAGTAAAATTTTAGATTTGAAATATTTGCCAACTGATGAAATGCCAACAGATGTTCTGACCAAAGGGCTAAGTCATGTACGTCATTTGAAATGCATCTCTCGTTTGGGAATTTTAATGCTTTGAGATTGTTACAGATTTTTATAGTCGACTGCTTTGAAGGGGACGTGTTGAGATATAGTCAAA